AGAGCTCCAATCCCATATTTTAAAATGTGCTCAGTACATTTTATTGAGTGACAACAATAGTACTACCTGTGTGACCTCAGGCAAATCAAGTCACTCACCCTCTCAGGATGGGTTTGCTCATCCATAAAATGAGGGAGTTGCATCTCTTTTTCATATAAAGTTCTAATTTTCCCATCTAGCATTAAATATGATTTACAGTCAAGCCCTCCACCTATCTTGCCAAACACATCTAAGTATTTCTGCATACACTACTCCAGCACAACTAGCCTCTCTGCCTAGAATACTTGTCCCATCCCCTAATTTCACATACTCAAAGTTTGTCTAACCTTCAAAGCTCATTTCAAATACCACTTCTAGGAAGCTGTCTTTGATCTACTTAAAGTCCTTTGCTTCTCTTTTATGGGTTTAGATCTCATCTCCTAGTCCTGTAGTTGTTTGTGTATTTCTTCTCTTTTCTACTTGACTGTGTCCATCTTGTAGGGCATAAGCTATTCCTAAATAATTCCGTATCTCCCACATTATCTTTGGTTCATCGTAGGCACTTAGTAACCTTATACCGAATAGATTCTGTTTAAGCCATGTCAGTCATCCCGCTCAAAGCCTTTTAACCAGTCCCACTCTTTCTAGAATAAAGACCAATAGCCTTATAATGGCCCACTCCAGCCACACCAGCTTTTGTTCACACTTCTCAAATTTGCTATGCTTCTCTTTTCACAGAGCCCTTGTACAGGCTCTCCCCTCCATCTAGAAAACTGCTCCACCACCTCCATTTTCTCTACCCCACCCCCATACAAGTCTTTACTCAACCTCAATATCACTTCTTCAAGGGTGCTTTGCATAAATTCAAAACTAGATCAGTTTCCTGTTGTATATCTTCATAGCCCCACCCCCATATTTTTTCCCTCATAGCATTTGTTATTAAGTGGAATGTCACGGCTGTATAATTATCCGATTAATGTCCTCTTCCCCATCAAACTTTAAGCCCCAGTCAATCAGGGACCATGTCTCTTTTGCCCAGCTTTGTATCCTCTCTTCCGTGCCTAACCACATTACTGAATAAATTAATTAAAAAAAAAACTAATGTGCTGAATGACTGATTTGATTAATGTCTGAGTTAAGAGTAAAGACTTGAGATGTAGAGTACATAAAGTATTTGTCTGACTTCCTAAAATCCCTTCAAAATAAAATTGAGATACCAAGTAGCTCTCTGAAGTAGTCAAGTTGGCCTTTTATCCACTGTAAGAAATTTTTTAAATGGGATGAATCCTGTCTCCCCACTGCAGAAGAAAGCCCAAATTACCTTTTCTTTATTGAATGCATGACCCCACAACTAATTTCAAATGTTCATTCATTTATTTAACAAACATTTATCAAGCACCTACTGTATGTCATACACTAGGCTAATAGCTAATGGTATAATAAACTGAACTGATACAGCCCCATGCCCACTTGGAGTATATAACTGAAAGTGTAATTTGTAGAAGCTCTAAGGAAATTAAGAGTTTTAAGAAAAGACAAACATTTTGGCTGTCACAACACGTGAACAATGCAACTCTGTATAAATGTTAAGTTCTTCCTTAAAGGAGATACTTAACTGGAGGGTAAAAAATCATCTTACAGGTGATTTGGAAATGAAGGCTTGGCCTAATCCAGGTCTCTTAAATTAGATATGCAGGTAGCCTAGACCACTGCACTCAAAATGTAGCCCTTCAATCAGTGCCTGTCTGTGAACTTTTATTACCGAGCAGGAAGAACCAAAGTACAGAAGTCGAGAGTAAGCACTTACAAAATTTTACAGCAATTTGAAAAAAATCATTTTATTTCTGTTGAATCTAATAATACAAATGTGGGCTTATCTTTTGTATGTCTTTTCTTTCATTTTCTAGTACTTCATGGTTAATTTATTTTACTAAATTAGCAGTCTTCTGTGGTGGATTAGGAAAAATGAACAAACCAAAAAATATTTTCCTTTACTAAGAGAGTTTGACTAGTACTCTACTAGAGTTTTGCTACTTAAAGTGTGGTCAGTGGAACAGCAGTTTCAGGATCACCTAATAGTTTGTTAAAATGCAAAATCCGAGGCCCCTCCCATAGGCTCTCTGAATCACAATTTGCATTTTAACAAGATTCCCAGGAGATATTTTTACACATTAAAGTTTGAGAAGCACTGGCCTAATGATTTCTGAAGCCCCTCATAAGCCTGAAATCTTACAGTTTACTTCAGATAGAGAATTTCCAAGTTGAAAGACCCTTAGAGATACAGTCCACCTCAATATCTTATAGATGGAAAAACTGAGGAACATGGAGGGGAAGTCATGTGTCCAAGATAATTGGCAAATCATCAGAGCTAGGAGCGGAATCCAAATTTGCTAACGGCCAAGTCAGTGTTCCATTCTACTGACCACATACTCACCTCTTTTCCACCCAGTCCCACTGTATTGTATCCCCTCAGTGATGTCATTATTCCTGAGGTATTTTCTGATAAAACAGTTTATTATTCTACCTTTTATACACTGTATAAACCTTGAACTACCATTATTTCAAATGTAGTAATTTTCTTTATTAAATTAGAACATTTTATAACTTTTTTGTGAAATTAGAAAATTTCATAATTTTCTTTATGAAAATTTCTGTCACTCAAATTTTCCCACATGTTTATTATCTGGATGCCACATAGACATTCTGGGGGCTTTAGAAGGACTAGTACTAACCAATTTCTGGTCTTTAGGAATATGAAAGTGACCTTCCTTGCTCCCGTCAGTCCAGTTGACACCAGATAATAAGCTCATCCAAGGAGAACATACACTTTCAGGGCTGCTTTAGAAAACTCAGTAGTCAATTTGTGGCCAACAAACAAGTGGGTATTAGGCCATATTAAGAATAGTCTAATTTCCAACATGAAGTAAATGATAATCCTTTACTCTGTGGTCTTATTAGATCCAAGGCTTAAGAGGGAGGCATGATTGCTGTATTCAACTAACTGAAAAACTATGATTAAGAAAAAGCATATTTGTTCCAGATGCTCCCAAAGAACCAATTAATATAAGTCATTGGGAAACAGACTTTGGCTTATAATGGGGAATACTTTCTGACAATCAGAGTTGCTCAAGACACAAAGAGCCACCTAATGAGCTCTCTATCACTGCAGGGAGTTCAAATAGAAATCAGTCAACAAATTGGATGCTTATGATAAATTCAAGAACTGTGGGGGAGGGAAATAAAGCTTAATGAATGACCTTTTGAGCTCCTTCCAGTTCCAAGGTTTTAGTATTCTAAAATTTTCAGCACAGAATAACACCAAATGCTCAGGAAATAAGAATAAGGTCTGTTTCTAAAAGGTGCAGTTCGGAGCATGTTGGTTGGAAAAGGTTATGAAAAGTGCAATCCTTCCAAGCATAATTTTCAAAGGAAAGCAAGCTGATCAATAAAAGTCTTTTGGGCACCCCCTTCCAGAAATCCAGGTGAAGTCTGGCTCCAGCCTAAGTGCCTATTACTCTACACAAAGGCCAGGTCATTATTTCTCAAAAAATTTTGTCAAGCCACACTACACCTATTGTGTCTACACTTACCTAACAGACAAATGTGCAAAATTCTCCCCAGGAAGGAGTAGTGCTTAATGGTTAAGACCATGGATTCTGGAACCAGATTGCCGGTGTTTTAATTTCCAACTGGGACATTTAATTGCTCTGTAATCTTGGATAAGTTACTTAACCTCTCTGTGCCTCAGTTTCATCAGTAAACCAAAGATAACAATAGTGTCTGTTATTCAATGCACTATTCTGCTACAAGAATTCAATGAAGTAATACACACTAAATCCTCAGCCCAGAATCCAAAATATACTATACACTCAATAATGTTAGCAATTAGTATTAAGGATGTCATAATTACTATCACAGGCACAGCAGTGTCACTCACTTAAAAAGCTCCCATCAAACAATTAGATCCCTTCCCCTACCAGTTCAGAGGGGCTATAATACAAGAGCTTCAACCAGTCTTTACATAGCTCCAGACAACCAGAACTTGTTGACCCTTAGTAACCCATACTATTCATGCTAGTAATCCTACCTCATCACGCTGCTTTTCATAAATCCAACAGCCACCCTTCCCCCAGTCTTCTTGCCCATGCCACCCCCAGCCACAGTCAGAGGAGCACCAAACTGGGAAGCCAGTTCCAGACAAACCATCAGGTGTTTCCTCCCTTCCAAGGACACAGCTGGACTTAACATGATGCCTATGAGTAGGATGGGGTGGTGTATCTGAATCTCTGGTCTAGGATATCAGCTTAACTACCTGGACTTGAGGGTGGGCAAGCAATGAAGCTTCTCTCAGGGAAACAAGTCAAGCCTCTCAAGTTTGTGGAGGAAGTCAGGGCTGACCCCACCATGAGCCCCTTAAAGGAAGTGGGGAGGTCTAAACCTGCTTTAAAGGAAGCAGTTATTTACAACTTTCTACTCACTTGCATGTGGGGGAGGTAATGGGGAGATGGGGAAAGAGGCTGCAAGGTACCCTCCTTCTTATTTCCAGCAGTGAGAAGCAGCTGCAGAGAAAGAGTTAAAGAACGGAGAAAGCTCCAGCCATTACTCCATCCCTGGTGCCTAGGGCTGTCTAGGGGGTCATGACAGTGCTGTCTGCTTTGGCTAGGGGCCACTCCGTGGCTTTCTGCAGCAGCTGCTGGGGCCCCCCAAGCAATTTGCAAGGTCAATGCTGACCTGCTTCCAAAGAGGAACAAAACAATTCACTGACAATAAAGCAAATCACGCATATACCACATCGCAACCCCCCTTCCTCAAATCAGGTTTTACCCCAGTGTCTCCCTGCTCAGATGCCGCCTCTGGGCTTCCACCAGCCCCACTGGGGAACCCAGGATAGCATCACAGCTGCAGAGCATGCCTCGCCTCCCGGCCAACCCAAGGAGACTCTCGGTACGGGGGAGAGATGCTATCGCTAAAGGAGACCTGAGCTTGGGGGAGGGGGAAGAAGGAACATCAATGTTTCTTACCGAGCTCTATAGTCTGAGCGAAAAGAAGAGAAGGATGAATGAACTGAAACAAGTTGGAGGTTGAGCCCTGCAGAGCTCGGCTTCTGGCTTCTTCTTCTCTTTCTCTGGGTCTCTCTCCTGGTCCCTCTCTCGGTCTGTCTCTCTGGTTTGCTCGCTAGCTTGCGCGCGCTCACGCTCTCCCTCTCCCCCTCAATCTCTCTCTCTCTCTCTCTTTCTGTCTCTCTCTCTCTCTCTCTCTCTCTCTCTCTCTCTCCCTCTCTTCCCCTCCCTCCGTCCCTCCCTCCCTATCTGTCTCTCTCAATCTGCCTCTCTCCGTCTCTTGTCAGTTTCTCCCTCCCCTCCTCCCCTCCCCTTCTCCCCTCCCCCTTTGCTGGCTTCAGGTTCACCACTGCTGCTTAGCACGCGGCTGTGCTGGGGCTCTGAATACAGCACTGCAAGGCTATAGATGTGGCTGTTTTTATGAAATACTAAAGTAGTATTTTATTCCTTAAGGCATCCAACTGAGAAATAGAGGGAAGCCCAGAAAGAAAGGGAGGAGCAGAGGAAGCAAAGGGAAGAGAAAGAGAGCAAGAGGGTAAGAGCAAATAGGAGGATAAAGGAAGTATGGGTTGCTGTAGCTGATGTGTGATGCTTACTTGCTGCTCCAAGACTGAAGAGTGAGCTTCCTCCTTTTCCCTCTGTCTCCCTTACATCCCTATGGGCGTGCCTTCTAACCCAGGCTCCAAATAAAGGTTTGACAATCCTGTCTGTTCAGATTCCATCTGTGGGGACAATAATGAGCTAGAAAAATGTACATCAAAGGGGTTGTCATTCATACTCCACTAAGAAGAAAGAGTTTGGCCACACTGATCCCCTATTGACCTAACTTCCACACCCGCCCTCAACCTAGTAGAAATACAGACCCAATTCAAAACTGTCAGCTCTAGCTTCCCTGTAGGCAGGACAGACAAGCAGCAGAACCACAATCCTTTCTTTTCAAAAATTCCGAAGGGAATATAGGTGTATGTAATTGTGTGAGCCTATACATCAGTTTGAACAAGGGGCAAAGTGGGGAGAAGAAGATTTATTGACTCAAAGTATAAAAGAATTATATTCCCATTGGGTCAAAAGAAAAAAAAGCAACCTAGGCAAGGCACAGTAACAATGCAGCACAGGGTGGAAAAAAATCTAAGCTAAAAATAAATTAAAGGAATTTGGGTTTGAGTTCTGCCTCTGAAAATTGCTGTGTTGCTTTCAACGAGTTCTTCGATCTGGCCCTCAATATCCTCAGTGACTAAATAAATAGTAATGGAATTAGATGATCTTAAAGGACCCTTCCTGAATTAATAGTCTAGGAATCTAAAGACACAAAAATTCCAGGTGAAGGAGAAGTTGGCCCTCAGAAAAAACATAAACTACCAAATTTCAAAAGTTCTCCAAAATGAGTCCCCAAATGGGACTCCAAATCACATTGATTCAACATTCTGTCTTTTGTGATTCAGGGACAATCCCAATATAAGATATAATCACATGAGTAAAGACTTTTCCTATCAAAGAATTTGGCATCTGCTCACATATAATTATTAGTATAAAAGTTTTCTTAATCAAACTCCTCATATTGTGATTTCTAGTCCAGTAAGTCAGAAAAATTCAGAAGTCATCTAATAGAAAGTGAGTTATATAGTGCGTTTAAGTATACTAGTGTCAATATACATACAGTGATTGGAACATAACAGGCATTTACAGTGTTGCCCATAGTGTGCCATTTGTATTTAAACTACCATCCTGTTGGTTTTTCTCCCAACTTTCCAATGCTCTCTGCTCCTACCCAATGAAATACATGTGCTACACACCTATACATCTTCAAAAGCATATATCTATACATTGAGTAGAAGATAGATGGGTATTTGTAAGCTTAGGGTCATTGACTCATAAAGATAACCATATCATTGCACAGGAAAAGAAACTAGACTAAATAGAAAATATAGCTCACACAAGGTCATAGTGACTCAGTGGCAGAGTCAAGGCCAGTACTCAGATGGCTGACTGCTGGTACAGTATTTTTGTTTACAAAAGTAACATGTAACTCGCACACAAAGCAAGTGTGTATGTGGACATATAGCTATAAATACTTTTTCCTGCATAGGTACTCATTTTTATGTGTAGATTTGTTTGCACAAATGTCCATTGGATTGAATAGATTAGTATACTGGCAAAAAGAAATATGAACTGGCATAAGATTGACATATTAGTTTCCTAAGGAACCCCTAGCAAATTACCATAAACTCAGTAGCTTGAAACAACAGAAATTTATTGTCTCACAGTTCTGAAGGCCAGAAGTCTAAAATCAAGGTGCTGGCAGGATCACACTCCCTCCAAAATTCTAGAGAACGATTTCTTGTCTGTTCCAGCTTCTGATGGCTCCCAATATTCCTTGGCTTATCACTGAATCTCTGCCTCTGTCTTCAAATGGTCTTCTCCTCTGATTTCTGTGTACCCAAATCTACCTCTTTTTTCTTATAAAGACACCAGTCATTGGATTTAGGACTCACCCTAAATCCAGAATGAATTCATCTCAAGATCTTTAATTAATTCCTTTTGCAAAGACCATAACATTGAAATGAGGTTACATCCTGAGGTTCTAGATGAACAAGAATTTCAGGGGACACTATTCAATTTACTGCAATTGATAACTTTTCATCTAATGCACATACTAAACAAACAAATAAACCATCTGGGTGCCATTATTTTTTTTTAAAGAAAAGAGATTTTAACACAAATAAGTTGGATTAAGACATTCTCTGAACAACAACAAAATAAACTCTTCTCTAAATCATACAGTTATACCTCTATGAAAAATTTATAGCATTTTCATAATTTTCCCACTTCACTGCAAACCAAAAAAAAAAAAAAAAACAACCACATACATTCCTTTATTAGGACAACTTCTGGCAATGGTGAAGAAGCCTCTATCAGACCAACCCTGATGCAGATAACAATAATAAACAGTGGACCAAATATATAATACAACAATTTGAATGCACTGGAAAGTAACCCATAAACAGGCAAAAATTAAAAGGGAATTAATACTTGAAAGGAGGGAACAATACTGAGTTTTTCTTTTTCTGGAAATTTTTGCCTGATGGCAGCCCCAGACTAAAGCAGTGAATAAATTCTAGAGAAACTAAAATCAGTGTTGCAACTGTTAAATGTTTAACAACTGGATCTTGAGGAAAATAAATAAAACACAAATTCATATAGTTACCAATTTCCATGGTGTAAATATTTCTACCACAGATAATTCCATGAACATGGAGTTGAATAGAGATGTGCACAGTAGACATTCACAAATCAGTACCAGCCAGCTCCTACACACAACTGCTCGCAGTTCAACTGGCTGAAAAAACCAGAAGACAGAATTCATGATGACCATTGTAGTGAAAATCCGTGAGAGAAATTCAAGTATTTTAAAAACTAAGAAGAGGAAGCCCCAAATTCTGTGTATAAACTACCCAGCTGTCTGGTGGAACCATGAAATATTTATGTGGGGACAGATTCCAAAAATTCTAAATAAAGCTGAAAAAATTAAACAGAATTTTCAGTGCTGCCAACGAGGGAGAGTTTGGAGTTTCACTTCAGCCACATTACTAAACAAACAAACTAAAATAAACAAACAAAATCAATATTCTAGAAAAAAATAATAAAGGTATACCACAGTATATAATTTACAATGTTCAGGGTACATTCAAAAATTACTACTAAAGCAAAGAGATGGGAAAATATTACTCATATCCAAGGGGGAAAAAAATACTAGAGATCAGCCCTAAGGAAGTCAGATGTTTGAATTAGGAGAAAGAATTTTGAATCACCCATCATAACTATACTAAGAGAAATAAAGAAAAACAAATGTATAATAAATGAACAAATAAGAAGTCATGATATCTGAAGTAAAATTCACTGAGTAGGCTTAACAGCAGGTTGAAAATGGCAGAAGAAAGAGTAGTTTAACTGGAAAAAAAATCTAGTGATATTATCTAATCTGAAGTACAGATTAGAAAAAGAAAAGATTGAAAAAGATGAACAGAGCATTAGAAATATATAGGATAATATTAAAGTTATAAACATAATTGGAGTCCCAGGTGGAAAACAATAAGAGAAGAGGAAGAAAAAAATACTTGAAACAAAAGTCTAACTACAAGACAATATCCCTGAAGAGTATTGATGGAAAAATCCTCAATAAAACATTAGCAAACAAAATTCAACCATATGCTAAAAAGATCATTCATTATGACCAAGTGGGATTTATCCCTGGGATGCAAGGATGGTTCAACATACAGAATCAAAGGGATACATCATATCAACAGAATGAAGAAAAAAAATCATATGACCATTTTAATAGATCCTGAGAAAACATTTGATAAAATTCAACATCCCTTCATGATGAAAAACATTTTAAAAAACTGGGTATAGAAGGAACATACCTCAACATAATAAATACTACATACAGCAGACCCACAGCTAATATCATGTTGAATGGTGAAAAACTGAAAGCCTTTCCTCTAAGATCTGGAACACAACAAGGATGCCCACATTCACCACTGTTATTGAGCATAGTACTGGATGACTTAGCTAGAGCAATCAGACAATAGAAAGATATAAAGGCCATCCATATTGGAAAGGAAGAAGTCAAAGTATCCTTCCTTGCAGATATGATCTTATATTTGGAAAAATCTAAAGACTCTACAAGAATAGGAAATCAAAGCAAAAATGGACAAACAGGATCACATCAAATTACAAAGCTTTTGCCCAGAAAATGAAACAATCAAAAATGTAAAGAGACAACTCATAGAATGAGAGAAAATATTTGCAAGCTACCCATCTGACAAGAGATTTAGTAACTAGAATATATAAGGAGCTAAAGCAACTCTATAGAAAAAAAAATCAAAAAATCTGATTCAAAAATGGCCAAAAAATCTAGATAGACATTTCTCACAATAAAACATACAAACAGCAAACAGGCATATGAAAAGGTGCTCAACACCACTGGTCATCAGAGAAATACGAATCAAAACTATAATGAGATACCATCTCACCCCAGTAAAAATGTCCTATGTCCAAAGGATAGGCAATAACAAATGCGGGTGAGGATGTGAGGAAAAGGGAACCTTTGTACACTGTTGGTGGGAATGTAAATTAGTGCAACCACTATGGAAAACAGTTTGGAGTTCCTCA